GTAAAAGATACTACATCTTTAGTCAGAGATTTGGCATAGTAAGCTCCTAAACGTTTGAGAAGTTGTTCTTGTTTTCTTTTGCCTGATGCTGCACATATGCACAGTGCATAATATGTAATAATTTTGGAAAGCTATAACATGTAAATGATTAATTCACCTTGCATTGAGATGAGCTTTTCTCTTTGTACTCATGAATACTGTGTTAGTCTGGGTACTTTAGAGAAACAAATCCACATAAACTCATGTATAAGAGACAGTTTTATGTAAAGGTTAAGTGCGTATCAAGAAAACATAAAACATCCCAACTCAGTGCTGCCTAAGCCCACAAGTCCAACATGAACCCATATGTCCAACACCAATCCACAAAGTCCTCTTCCATCTCACAAAACAGATGCAATGATGCCGACTGCAGGAGGAAAGCTGAGTCAGTGAATGTGTAAGCATCTCAGCACTAGCAGGGCTCTCCACATGGGTGCTCCAGCACCCAGGGCTGTATAGGGGTGGGTCCATGTGGCTTCTCCTCTGGGACGTCTTACAGAAAGTGAGCTGGCAAGCCTTGCCAGCTAAAGCAGGGAACTGACTAAGGCAGCTGCACCCTGGTTGGACAATCAGAAAGCAAAAGACCCAAGAACTAGAAAGGCTAGGCTCACTGAGCCATTTATCCCTCTGCCCTTCAATTAACCCTACTTATGTTTATTGGCCAGGTTGGCACAATAAACTAACTCAAATACTTTTTTTTTAAAAGGGAAAGAAAATCTATATGCCAGATCAAGAATCAACAGGCATTTAACCAGTGAATGTAACCATCCATATATACAAAAGTAAGTGAAAAAGTATTTATACTAGGTTCCATTCATACATGGGTTCAATCCAAACAAAACCCTTTAAAACATGTCTCTGCAATTAGTGTATGATACGTTCTCTCCGTGATTCATTTGTCATAGTTCCATGAGGAAATCTTCCAGAAGGAGGTCTAATCAAAACAGTGACTTCTGAAGCAATTTTCTCAGGGGTCAGTTACATTTAAGACAGAGAGGTCAGCTCAAAAGATTAAGGTGACTATGTGGGATTTCAAAGGCATGATCTTGATAGATTTACTCAGAGGACACAAGATAATCATGCATGCTTATTAGGAAGAAGATTTACCATTCAACACTGTACTGGTTAGAAAAAAGTCTGGAGAATTTGTGGCAATTTCCACCCTACCCTAACCCCCACTCCACAATCATCACCACAGGGCACCAGTGCATTCTTCAAGAGTAGCACCAGCCACCCTAGGAGAATGTCATTGGAAAACCACACATCAGCCTTTCAACTCTGAAAATTCTCCTTCACAGTTCATTTTGGTTCTCCAAATTCAAAGATGATTGAACAGGAGCACAGTTTGAGGACCGCAAGGATGCTCACACTGCTCTTTTGATGGAAAGGTACAGAATTCTTCCAGGAAGGGGTGGAGGGATAGGAACCCCATGTTCAGAACTGTATAGCTCTGGATAGAAATTGAGTCAAGAAACAATTGCTTCACATTTTGATAGTTTTATTTTAAAGTCTGATCCTGCCAGTGAGTTGATTCTAACTCATAGTGATCCTATAAAAGAATAGAATTTCCTCATAGTATTTCTGTTTGTAAATATTTTTATTATTATATAACCTTTTAATTGACATATCTTACTGATTCCAATGTATCCCCACCCTTCCCATACATTTTCTTTGTCCAATCCCATTGGGTGGGGTTATATAATCATCAATGCTGTCAACTCCCTTTTCTCTCCCCACCCCACCCCCACTTCTGATACTCTCATATAACTATTGCTCCTGTCACTGTCTCTGAGGGGTCGACTATCTTGAGGACAATGTACTGAGCCATCTTAAATATACAAATGAACACATGCAAATTTAACATGATTGATGAGATATATTATATGAAGACCTTAATAATAAGGGGAGGAAATCTTAAAGAATTAGAGGATAGTTATATGTTTCATCATTGCCATACCACACCCTGGATTTATTTTCCTTCATTTTTTGTGACCCTTCTGAGAAGGGACTGTCCAATTGTCTTGCTGGTGGACTTTGGGTCTCCACTACATCCATTTTCTTTCATATTAATTTGGCTGGATAATTTTTGTTTTTGTGAACTTTGGATACCTCTTCTTTTTGACACCTTATTATCATACGGGCTGCTTGTGCTTCTTCCCTGTGGAACAAACAGTCCCATTTTTCTCCTGTGGAGTAGCTGGTGGATTTGAACCTCTGATCTGTGTATTGCTGCCAACTGCTTAACCCACAATGCCTCAGGTCTCCCTTTGTTCATTAAAAATTCTGCAATCTTGGTGCGATATCACTTGACTTCCCCTCATGCATACAGCTAATGCTAGCCAGTTACTCAGTTACTGATAATTTAGAAATTTAGTGAGGACCATTTCTTATCTTCTTTATAACTTGGCATTTACTTTTTAAATTATTAAGGCAAACCAATAAATAAAGAAAAATATGAATGTTAGCCTACCTAGTTCTTCTAGTTCTTAAATGCTGCTTCCCCCTCCACTATTATGATCCCAATTCTACCTTACATATCCAGCTAGACCAGAGGATGTGCACTGGTTACAGATAGGAACTGGAAACACAGGGAATCCAGGACCGATGATCCCTTCAGGACCAGTGGTGAGAGGGGTGATACCAAGAGGGTGGAGGGAAGGTGAGTGAAGGAGCCATGAGAGGAGCACTGTGTCTCATGTCATGTGTCTGTCTAGGACAGTGCGCAAACATCTGTCTTAGCTGGTTCTCATAAACTGCCTCCTTACGGCAAACGGTAAGGAATTTGGGGGTGGGGGGTGGGGCAGCTGCAAACAGTGTTCCCTGTTAGAATGTAAACAAAAGTGGTATGGGCCCAGATATGGAATTCACTCTCGAGACTATGAGAAATTCAAGTGTGGGAATAGCAAACTTGTCTGGGAACACTGCCAGTATTTAGTACATAAAAATATAGCACTGCGGTCTGTCAGGGCTGCAGTTTGTACCGTCTCTGTCTGTGTCTATTTTGTGCTGCAGTCCTGTATTGTCTGTGTGTGTGTGTGTGTGTGTGTGTGTGTGTGTGTGTTTGGTTCCATGTTCATTCTCCCTGCTCAAGAAACCACAGCATCAGTGAGGTAAAAAGGGGAACCAACTACAAGGAACTACATATAACCTCTTCCCTGGGGGACGGACAATAGAAAGTGGATGAAGGGTGACATCAGACGGTATAAGATCTGACAAAATAATAATAATTTATAATTTATCAATGGTTCATGATGGGGGGGCGAAGAGGGTAGGGGAAATGAGGAACTGATACCAAGGGCTCAAGTAGAAAGGAAATGTTTTGAGAATGATGAGGGCAACAAATGTACAAATGTGCTTGACACAATGGATATATGTATGGATGATATATGTATGATAAGAATTGTAGGAACCCCCAATAAAATGATTTAATTAAAAAAGAGGCAATTGGGAGAACTAAAAAGGGCATACTGCATGGTTTAAAATCAGGAAATGTGTGCATCAGGTTTCAATCCTTTCAATAAATCTATTCAATCTGTATGCTGAGCAAATTATTGACAAAGCTGTATAATTATATGAAGAAGAGTGAGGTGTCAAGATTTGAGAAAGGTTTATT